TTCATTTTCTAGATTTATAATTTCTGGCAAAACCAAAACTATGGTGTAGGAATCTTCGTTGATTAGTTTTTCCTATTATGTATTTGAGAATTAATCTTCTCGAATATATATTTGAGAAGTTTTCTATGTTTTGTTAAACTTTTTTTTTTTTAATAGCTTTCTCTAATACATGGCCGAGAATTGGACTTTTTGAATACGTATTCAAGAAACTTGCTTCATTTTTATTAAACAACATCTTATCAGAAGAACTCACGAATCCTTGAATAGTTTTCTCAAATATATATTCAAGAATTGATCTTCTCAAATATATATTCAAGAATTGGTTTTCTCAAATACATATTCAAGAATTGGTTTTGTCGAATGCATATTCAAAAATTAGTCTTTTCAAATACATATTCAAGAAGCTTTCTATTTTTTGTTAAACTACTCTGAACAATTTTCTTAAATACATATTCAAGAAACTCTTTCTATCAACTAAAGATTTCTTACCAAAACATCAATATAATGTGTTTACAAGGACTTTATAGAAAATATGCTCAAGAATTTAAATTTAAAGTTTTGAGGACAAAAGAACTTTCTCAATAATACGTTCAAGAAAATAACATTTCCTTAAATATCTCATCCCATAAAATTTCTCAAATACATCTTTAAGAAAGCTATCTCTCGAAGAACATATCAAATATTCTCTAACCTTTTTGAAGATGAACTTATTTAATTTCATTTTACTTCTCATTTACAATTGTTATATAACTATCTCACACTTCTTTCTTTGAGTATCTCAAGCTCACAAATAATACAAGCAAAGACGTTTCAAAAGATGATTGAAGGTTAAAAGTTTTAATGGAAAAATGACATTGAAAAAGCAAAGGACTCTAACAGCATTAAATGCTAACGCAATCTTCACAAGCCACTAACGTCTCCAACTACTTCTACAATGGTAACTTCATCTCAAGTCTAACGAATAGTTAATGAAGCTCAACTATAAAAACTATAAATAGACGAAGCATTCAATGAAACAACAGGAGAAGGAAACGAACAATTACGGTCTCGAATCTACTGCTTATTACTCTATTTCATTAAGTTCATCAATTGTGCTTCAGTGTTCATTTATTATTCTGTGAGACAGATAGATTTAAACATTCAATACTCATCTATGAGTTGCTCAAGGTTGTGGGAATCTTGAGTGGGTTGTAACCTTGTGGGAACTAAGAGGGAGCAATTGAGAGTCATCAATTGCTATACTGTGGTGCCAAGAGCTTGTTACAAATCTTGAGTTATAACGAAACATTCATAGGCTCTGAAACTGGACGTAAGTCAAGTAGTTGAAACCAAACTAGTATAAACTATTGTGTGCTTTTTTGACTCCCTTCTTCCTCTTTTGGTGATATTCTTAGTGCTCAATCTCTTTTCTTGTTGATTTAAAGTTAGAAATCTTATTACACCCAATTCACCCTCTTCTTCTTGGGTGTACTGCCATACTAACAAACTCCTCACCGTAGTCATCATAATAACACTCTTCACCTTCCTCATCCTCAGTTTTCCCAGGCTCACGGTGATTACAAAACCACAAGCCTCCTCTGTGACCAAGGGTACCCACTTGTCAAGGACCATGATGGTTGGCTCAGAATGTGGTTCGACCCCTGTATTCTCCTTCCTCCCTTCACCTCGCTCTTCGCTCAGCGCATGACGCTTCACTTTGAACCACATCTTGAAGGTTGTTTTAATGCCCATGGGGTTCGAACTCGGGTCCCTCAATTTGGTTCAACACGATCGCTTCTTTATCTTGACCCTCATCTCAAGTGAGTCGATGTTTTGCAATCGAGTATCGTCTTCAACTTCTGGGGCATATTGTGAGGCATATTGTGACTGTAACATGCTTTGGCCTACAAGGCACCATTGGTGGATTCGCTTGAAGAGGTTGTATATGTGGAGGGTGAAACTCTGTTTGGAGCACCCTATGATTTCCAATATGGTCTTGCTGCGAAAGGTCATTTGTCTCATGTGGGTTTTGTAACATCCTAAATATATCTTAATATAAAAAGAAATTATTATTATTTCACAAAATAAAATAAACTAATAATATTTTATTATTATAAAATAATAATTTTTTTAAAAAAAAAGACCCAGCTTTTCCACTGATGGAAAAAAGCTAGAGGTAATTTAAGAAGAAGGAAGAAAATGGGGGTGGTGCATTTAAGAAGAAGAAGAAAATGGGGGAGGTAAGTAAATGAAGAAGGAAAAATGGGATGAGATGGTTGAGGGGGATGGATAATAAAAGGAGGGAGTGTTATGCAAAGAAGAGAAAGAGAAAGTGAGAGGCACAAAAAGAGAAATCGAGAGAAAAGCAGAGAAATGTAAGCATTCTGAAGAATAATTCAAAGTTTAGGAATCATTTAGGTATATAAAAACACTTCTTTCTATTAAATTTTTTTATGAATATTTTCTATATATTTAGAGCTTTATATTAGTAGTATCATTATAATGTTTAGAGAAAATTTTGTGATTTTGATATGGAATAAGTATTGAGTTTTGACCATATTTGATCGTAGAAATTCAAAAATACATTATTAAGAAATTCTAATCATTTTAGATTTGTCTATTTGTTACTTTTGATATTTAAAATTTATTTTGTTGAAAAATCTGTCATTTATGACATATATACAAGTAGGATGACAAGTTGGTGAAGTAGTGCTCAAATATAATTTAAGTAATAAATGATATTTTAATAGATACAATCACATGAACGGAGTACATCTCACCATCCACCATAATTCATACAAAATACACATATGCAACAACATAATGAAATATGTCCTCCCATCACCATACTCCTCCTTATGACTCCTTGACAAGGACCAGGGCTTTCTATGCTGAGTAACCCGACCAAAGGTCGCCTCAGTCACATCAAGGAGTGGGTCCCCCTCCTGTACTTACACTATCCAAAAATGGATTATGGTGTAAGAGGTGTAAGAGATGTCTATCCAAGAGTTCGTTCTCAATTTTAAACCAGGGAAAAGGAAGAACTACATAGGTCTAACAAAAAAGCCAAATACTAGGATCCGTAGTGCAGGCATACTGCGCGAGCTTCAAGAACAATTATCCTTCACATAACAAAATCCCATCCTCCACATATGAACCCCATGCATAGTCACAATATAAATTAAAAATATCATAGTTCTTCAAAGTAAGATGATATAATTTCAAACAAAATACAACACATTTTCATTTTATTTAATAACATAATATTAGTATATTAAATTCAACACCGCAAGAAAACATAATTTTCAATAAAACACTACTCAGGCATAATTAAAACAACATACTTCCCACTTCACCAAAATTTGTTATATAAGGAAATATATATTTTATTCATAGGCATACTTTCACAAATTAATTTGGGAAAATACAAACATAATAAACACCTTACAATTCAAAGCATGTATATAAAATAAATTAACCCTGGTTACCTCTACTCTAAGCTTAACCTCATAGCTTGAGAAATAAGAGCATAAATTACAAACTCCGAAATACAAGATAATCTACAAATAATGTAGATACAATTTAATATACATACAAATAAATAACTTAAATTGCATAGGATTTATTATTATTATTATTATTATTAATTTGTACATATATTTACTACTCAAAAATTCTTACTTCACATAACATTTTTCCCCTACCCAAATAACTCATTCAAATTATATATATATATATATATATATATAAATATTGTTTTTATCTAACATTGTAAAAATCTCAATTTATAATTTAAGTTTTCAGCTTCAAAATTTTTCTAATAATATATCCTTAACCTATTTTACATTTTTAAACTGATTAAAATATGAATAATATATTAAATAACACAGATAAGTTATTTAATTTAAATTTAATCAGTAAAAACATTCTATATGTCTTGAATAATATATTTTTCAACTAAAATCTTAGTTTGAAATTTTCAAAACAATCAATGAATAAATATAAACTGATTAAAATTTCAATAATATATCAAACAATCTAAACAAATTATTTGACTTAATTTTAATTGGTACAAATATGTTGTATATCATAAATGATAGATTTTTCAACAAAATAAATTTGATTTTAAATATCAAAAGTAACAAATAGACAAATCTAAACCAGTTAAATTTCTTAATAATGTATCTTTGAATTTCTATAGTCAAATTTTCAAAACTCAATACTTATTCCATATCAAAATCACAAAATTTTCTCTAAACATTATAATGATACTACTTATATAAAGCTCTAAATATATAGAAAATATTTATAAAAAAAATTTAATAGAAAGAAGTGTTTTTATATACCTAAATGATCCTCAAAACTTGTATTATTCTTCATAATGTTAACACTTCTCTGCTTTTCTCTTGATTTCTCTTTCTGCGCCTCTCACTCTCTCTTTCTCTTCTCTGCATAACACTCCCTCCTTTTATTATCCATCTCCCTCAACCATCTCATCCCATTTTTCCTTCTTCATTTTCTAACCTCCCCCATTTTCTTCTTTTTCTTAAATGGACCACCCCATTTTCTTCCTTCTTCTTAAATTACCCCCAGCTTTTTCACTGAATTCAATGGAAAAGTTGGGTCTTTGTTTTTTTTTAATAAAATATTATTATTTTATTTTTTTGAAATAATAATAATTTCTTTTTATATTAAGATATATTTAGGATGTTATAGTTCTCCCCACCTAAAAAGAATTTTGTCCTCAAAATTTGCAACACGTATAGGAAATATAACAACACAATAACATTGAAGAAACAGATAATATCACAACACACATACTGTCATCACATAAATAGTACACAATCAGCACATCAACACATACCTAAGAAAACAAATGTGGAAAATCATGCCGCATTCGCTCCTCAGTTTCCCAGGTGGCATCACCAGGAAACATACCTTTTTCAGAAAACCTTAAGTAACCAGATTATTTTATTTCGAAGTTACTTATCCTTGACATCTAGGATGCGTTCGGGCTTAGCTCAAAAGGTAAGATTCTCTTGTAACTCAATCTCCTCAGGCTCAATCACATGAGATGGATCTAGATGATACTTCTTGAGTTGTGACACATGAAAGACATTGTGCACATTAAAGAGATGCAGTGGTAAAGTAATTCGATAAGCAACCAGTCCAATCCGCTCCAAAATCTCATAAGGTTCAAGATATCGAGGAGTCAGCTTTTTGGCCTTGATGGATCTACCAATGCCAGTCACTAGTGAAACTTTCAAAAACACATGGTCACCCCCTTCAAATTCCAAAGGCCTCCACCGTCGATCTGCGTAACTCTTCTGGCAACTCTGAGCAGTCATCAACCTTTATTTGATTAATTCAATTTTCTCTGTGGTTGCATCCACAATCTCGGGGCCAACAATAGTTCTTTCACTCAATTTAGTCTAACATAGTGATGATCTACACTTTCTTCCATACAATGCTTCATAAGGTGCTATCTAGATGCTCATATGATAACTATTATTGTAGGTGAATTCTGCTGATGGAGGATGGCAATCCCAAGTCCCAACTACCCGAATGTTCAATAGCACAAGCCCTCAACATATCCTCGAGAGTTTGTATTGTCCTCTCAGTTTGACCATCAGTCTAAATTATACGCCATACTGAACTTCAACTTTGTGCCAAAGGCTCTTTGCATTGCCTTCCAGAAGTTCAAGTTGAACCTTGGATCTTAGTCTGATATGATATCTTTTGGTATCCCATGCAATCTCACAATCTCATGTACATACAATTGAGCAAGTTTTTCCACAGAATAAGTAGACTTGATTGGGAGAAAGTGGGCTGACTTTGTCAATCTATCTACAATGACCTAGATTGCATCATAACCCCCTGGAGTTCTAGGCAAACCCATGATGAAGTCCATTGAAATTTCTAGGTTTTGGATTAAAGCCGGTGGCTTTTGGTGTTCAATTTTGACTTTCTGACAAGTCAAGCACTTGAGTACAAAATTAGTCATATCACACCTCATCCCTAGCCACCAATACTCTTGCTTCAAATCATGGTACATCTTGGTTATTCAAGGGTGAATGGTGTACTTAGTTCTATATACCTCCTTCAAAATTGTCTTTTTCATTTCTTCATTATCTAGAATGCAAATTCTTCTTATACCTTAAGATTCCTTCGTCTCTAATGTCATAGTCTGATATTGCTCCATTTTCTACTTCTTCTCTTATCCTCATTAATTCATCATCCTCTATTAGGGCTATCTTCAACTCTTTAAAGAAGTTAAAATCCCCAAGTACTCCATTTAAAGTAATAGTCGTTTCTATTATCTTACCTATAACTGGTATTTTAGTTAGCTCATCCAGCAAGTGATACTCTCACACTCATGTAGAAAACATGCACTGTCTTTTGACTCAATGCATCAGCCACCACATATGCCTTCTCTAGATGATACTTCAACTCAAAATCATAATCTGCTAAGAATTCCATCCATCTTCGCTAATGATTATTTAACTCTTTCTGATCTACCAGGGTACTTTAAGCTTTTGTGGTAACTGAAAATCTCAAACTGGGCACCATATAGATAGTGTCAATTGTCTAGATGCAAATCATAGGTGGGCTAATTCTCCTCGTGAGGTCTCAATTGTCTGGATGCATAAGCTATCACCTTGTTATCTTGCATCAATATACAACCCAAACCTTTCAAAGATGCATTTGTGTATGTTATGTATGGTCGTGATGGTTTAGGTATAGTGAGGACAGGTACCGTGGTTAGCTTTGTTTTCAACCCTTGAAATGTAGCTTTCCACTTTTCTGTCCATATAAAAGGTTTGTCCTTCTTTATCAAGTTAGCTAATAGCACAGCTATATGAGAAAAGCCTTTAATAAAATGGCAGTAATACCTGGCCAACCCAACAAAGCTTCTCACTTCAGTCACAGACTTGGCAGTCTCCCATTTTAACACTGCCTCTACTTTGCTCAAATCCACAGCCACACCTTCAACAAATACCGCATGACCTAAAAACTTTACCTCCTTCAACTAAAACTTACACTTGCTCAATTTGGCATAAAACTTGTTCTCTCTTAATATTTGTAATATAATGTGAAGGTGTTTACAATGCTCCTCTTTGCTCTTCGAGTATCATCAATGAAGACTACAACAAATTGATCCAAGTAAGCCATGAAGATCCTATTCATATAGTCCATAAACACTACTAGAGCATTTGTTAATCCAAAAGGCATCACCAAAACTCGTACTGACCATAACGAGTTTGAAAGCGGTCTTGGGAAGGTACTCTGCCCTGACCCTTAACTGATGATAGCCAGATCTTAAATCAATTTTAGAGAACACAAACGAACCCATAAGCTGGTTAAGTAAGTCATCAATTCTTGGAAGGGGATACTTACTCTTAATTGTGACCTTATTCAACTAACAATAATCTATGCACAACCTCAAATTGCCATCTTTCTTTTTCTTGAACAACACAAGTGAACCCCATGGAGAAACACTCGGTCTAATAAAACCTTTTTCCAATAGGTCCTCAATCTGTTTCTTTAATTCTACTAACTCAGAGGGTGACATTCTATAGGGAGCTTTAGAGATAGATTCGGTTCCTGGAGCTAACTCAATAGACAACTCCACCTTTTGTACTGGAGGTAACCCAAATATTTCTTTAGGAAACACATCGAGAAACTCACTTACTACTTCAATCTGGTCTATATTCCCTTCCTTTTCAGCTTGCATAAAGAAAAAGACTACAAAAGCTTGGCACCCCTTCTTAACATATTTGTCTACTCGAGCTGCTGTCAATAAAACAGGAACCTCTGGTACGTCTACAGATGTCGAGATTGAGTGCAACATAACAGACTTCTTCTTGCAATCTAAGGTAGCTCTATTAGCTGACAACTAATGCATACCCACAATAAAATCTATGCCTCGAAGGGGCAAACAAATCAAGTCAATGGTCATTTCCCGACCTTAAATACAAAGGTCAAACCTTTGCAGACTTTAACAATTCTCATGGTTGCTCTCGCCAGAGTAGTCACACACAGAACATAAGACAAATTGTCCATACACAGTCTTAATTTTTCAACATAATCAAAGGACACAAAAGAGTGGGTTGCCCCTGAGTCAAACATAGCATACAAGGGATGATTTTGTAAGAGTATGTTACCTCAAATCAAATTGGAGTACAGGTAACCGGGGTTAATTTATTTTATATACATGCTTTAGATTGTTAGGTGTTTATTATGTTTTTATTTTCTCAAATTAATTTGTGAAAGTATACCTGTGAATAAAATATATATTTCTTATATAACAAATTTTGGTGAAGTGAGAAGTATATTGATTTAATTATGCCTGAGTTGTGTTTTATTGAAAATTATGTTTTCTTGTGGTGTTGAATTTAATATACTAATGCTATGTTATTAAATAAAATGAAAATGTGTTGTACTTTGTTTGAAATTATATCAACTTACTTTGAAGAACTATGATATCTTTAATTTATATTGTGACTATGCATGGGGTTCATATGTGGAGGATGGGATTTTGTTATGTGGAGGATAATTGTTCTTAAAACCCGTGCAGCATGCCTACACTACGGATCTTAGTGTTTGGCCTTTTTGTTAGACCCTTATAGTTCTTCCTTTTCCTTGGCCCGGAATTGAGAACGAACTCTTGGGTAGACACCTCTTACACCACAATCCATTCTTGGGTAGTGCAGGTACAGGAGGGGGCCCATTGCTTGATGTGAGTAGGGTGACCTTTGACCGGGTTACTCAGCACAGAAAGTCCTAGTCCTTTGTCAAGGAGTCATAAGGAGGAGTATGGTGATGAGGGCATATTTCATTATGTTGTTGCATATGTATATTTGTATAAATTGTGGTGGATGGTGAGATATACTCCTTTCATGTGATTGTATCTATTAAAATATCATTTATTACTTAAATTATATTTGAGCACTACTTCACCAACTTGCCATCCTACTTGTATATATTATAAATTAATGCTTGGTTACTGAGACTTTATGTCTCATCCCACTATTCACTA